GGGGCGGCGGGGGCGTAGTTATGCATGCATAGAAGGATAATGCCTATTTCAGTGGTGTGATCCGCGCAGCCCCGCCCAGGCCCGCCGTAACACGCCACGCTCCTTCTCGACACACACACAGACACACACACAGACACACACACACACACAGTAGCAATGTGATTCCACCCACACTCCGGCAAACTTTGAGCTAGATAGCATATTACTGGTTCCTATTGATTCGGAATAATATTCAATTGATAATTTGTGGAAGAGTAAAGATGTATGCTTGGACTCTTGAATGGTATAGAGAACAGAACGGATGCTTGTACTCGGTGACTAAAAAAAAAGGTAACGGGGACTAAAAGAAAAGTGACGGTGCGGTGATGCACCCTGATGCCTCTGATTCACCGCAGCTTACAGTGACATTCAGCTTAGCTGATAATTCACCGTAAGATACGGTGTTGCGGTAGGGTTCACTGTCTTACAGTGAAATTAACCGAAGGCTTTTAAGAGTGCTCGTTCCGCTCGCTTGAACTCACTCACTCACTCACTCACTCACTCACTCACTCACTCACTCACTCACTCACTCACTCACTCACTCACTCACAGGTGATATGCGTGTGTGCGTTACGGGGTGATGGATGCACTGCCAGTGCTTGAGATAACGAGCCCTGGGGAAGGGAGGGTCCTCGCGGGGGTGAGCTAGGGGTGTGCAGCAATGAGGACGAGCCCGAGTTAAGGACCAATCTAGAGTGCTCTGCGTGAGTCGCGGGTACTGCACTTGTAGCAGGTTCCATTTCTGAAACTGCTCTAAAATACCCGACCCTGCTCATTTCAGAAAAAAGAGTTAAATGTACACCGAATACGTGAACGACGTCTGGGCGAGTCGCATCGCGTTTCGAGCAAACAGGTACCTACAACGGGTCGTCGAGACACCCGACACCGCGCCGGACGCGCACCATTCGTCGCGCCATTGTCGGGTCATAAGAGGCGGAAAACGACCCCACTCCTCTCGCCGAAGTGCGGAAGCGACTTACCGGCAAAGTGAGACACGCTGGCGAGGACTTCCAACATGTTTGGAGAGGGTGGTGGAGTACAGCGGGGTGCTCACGGTGCTCACATGCCGCCGCGCCCACGCGTCACATGTTGCGGTCGCACTCACAGTCACATGATGTCGCGCGCGCACTATACGCCGCTCTCTCTCTCTCTTCCTCGTTCTCGCTCTCACACTGTCTGTCTCTCTCTCTAGCCAATCTCCGCTGAACGTCGAGTCGCACTATTGCTGGTGCCGCTGGCAGGACGGGGATCGCGGCGCGGGCGCATCGCTTATCGCACTCCAGCACTGTTTGTAGAAACAAGTGAATTGCGT